AATAATATATAACTCCCATGTTTGACTCTGAAGGAAGGGGTAGTAGACATACTTCTTCCAAAAGTTATTTTCATCATCGCTCATTAGCGTATCATTCCCGAAGAAGGGAAAACATGACACGGATACTCCAACTCCAGAGAGAAAGAAAACTTATCATTCGTCTTCATCCTCGACAATAAAATACCAAGTTACGGTGGAATAGGAGATCTAGACGAACATGTTGAACATGTGGATAACAGGTTGCATTACTACCAAGCCCAATGGGCCTTAAAGCGCGAGATTTTTGCACTAACCCTGATGGTAGTCATGATTTCATAGTTCAAAACCATTCCATACGAGAGTATAAATTTGTGGAAGGATCTGTGTGACTCATTCACTTCCCAATCTACTGCCCAAAAATAGCATCCCGCAACCTTAGGTGTGTTAAACAAGGTAACTCATAAAAATAACATACCATTCATGAATACATTGATCGTGTCACGAAAGTGTCCATAGTAGTAGGGGCAAGGATGACGGGAAGAAGTGTTGGATGTTCAAGAAGGGGATGAGATTAGATTGCATGTTCTAGGAAAAATGAGGCTTAAGGGAACCATTAATTTAAGTTATTTTCTCAATAGGACACAACCCTATATCAATTATGGGAAAAACTCTTGGATGAAGAGGGATAGAGAGGTCAGTGAACATGGAACTCTGAACACGATTGTGCACCTGAAAGAGACAATAGATGACGCCAAGAAGAAGGGGACCGCAAACCCAATCCAGGTTCTCCGCCTACACCCCTCTGAACACCCTAGAGATTTTTTTTGGAAATAATGTGCTAACACCAAGTTTAAAGAAGTCAGGATCATGAACCCTAACCCGATAAGAGAATCGTCTAGGACAAATAAGTCTAAAATTTATTGTTATCACTAAAATCACGACCACAATACCAATTAATGCATCTATCTGAAGGATAAAATAAAAGATCTAATTAAAAATGGTCTACTTACCTAGTATATCTGGGAAGGTGACCGGAAAGGTTGTTTAGACCATACGAGACAGTTTAGGTGCCAAGAAGAATCACCCATGAAGGAAAGTTTTTCTCGCTAGGAGAAACTATCCCTTATAAAGCTATTGAGGTTGTGACTGAAACTAGAAGAAAAAAACAATAATAGCAGGGAATAGGAAGATCGTAAAGGAAAGCGCCAGTACATCGCATCGATTACTAGTGGTTTTCCAAGGGAAAAAAAAACTGCTCCAAGAGAGCCTTAAAGAGAATAATCGATGAGATAATGGTTGTGAGAAAAAAAAATGAACAAATTCGGTTGGGGAGACACATACATATTCTCAAATTCCTAGTTAGCAAAAAAGTAAGCGGGATCCCGAATGAGATCTTTCCTCTAGTCATAACAACTATCATAATCCTCATTAACGGGGAAAGCTCCTGTGACATCATGTAAGTGAAGTTTTTTGATAGGCTAGGTGATGGATTATTTATATGTGCAAGTATAAAAAGTTAAAGTGGTAGTAAGTGTTAAAAGTAAAACTATTGATCCCATAAAAATTGTATTAACTTAAGTTACTTTTCAAGTCAAAAATAGTGAATAGTGATGACCGTAAAATAACAATAGTTGTTTTTATGAATAAATATTAATAATTGAAGGTAAAGAAGTTTAACATAAATGGGAGCATGCTGAGCAAGAATTCATTAAATGAGTTTCACTTAATATATTAGTGTGATGATATATGTCGTCGCAGATGAGAGTAGAATATGACCTAATGGTTTATGTCTACAACAACATAATTAATGCACCTAATAACTAAGAAATAAATTCACAAGTCTCGCAATAGCATTAGTGCATGGCTTTACTGAGTTGTCATATCCCCTATGGTTCTAATTTTCTAAAGTATCTTTATTAATAGCGTTAAATTAATAGAATAATAGATAGATACAAATATAATAAAAAAATATATTAAAAAATAAATTAATAAATAATTTAAGACAAATAATGTTAGTAAAAAGGACATCTATAATGACAGGGAAAAAAATAATTCTTTATTATAAAAAATATTTTAAATAGTATATGATATTTAATGGAAATTGAAAACCAAAATATAAAATTATCTCGACCATTTTTTATCTACCTTTACGTATCTCCCCTTTTAGATTTTAATTTATAAATTATTTTTCACTACAAGTTCATTTGAACTAAAATTTATACCTTATGTATTATACAATTATAATCGTGGCGGAACCAAAATGCTTTTCTTGAGGCCATAATTAAGTTTGAGATTATATAATATATGTTTCACAAAAGTTTATATGCTTTTATGGTGTGGTGGTTGACGTGTGGGGTAAAATTTTGGTCATTGAACTTTTGGGCGAGAATTCAAGTCTTAGTTTGGACATTTTTAAAAGTCCAAAAATAGATATATTTCTACCGCAATTATAATAACATTGAGACAACAAATGTTATTTATATAAATATGTCTATTATATTTAGCCTAGCTACTAAAAAGAAAATTTTAAGATGTTTGGGGTGGTCACTATGTAGTTCTGCTTCTGACTATAATATTAGTAGATTTTTAAAATATTAATAATTACAATTTTCTTTATTACTTCTAAAAAAGTTTGTTTATTACAATTGTTGAAGAAATATTATCAATTTTAATATAAAAAATATTATATTTGAATAATAGATCAATAACTAATTATGTCATATTTTAAGTTCTAAATTAATTTTTAAAATTAGGTTCATTATTAATCAATGTAAATGGCTTCTTTCATTGTAAATGAGACTACTAATCTCAAGTAGATGCGGGAGTTGTTCACCGGTCAACAATCTTGGGCTACTCTTTTCAAGAAGAGAATTTTTCAGAGTATGAGTCTAATTAAAGATCACATTTTATCAACCATTTGGACTGGAATCAAGTCTGAATTCGATATCCTTCGCATCAGTTCTTGTTGGTCTATTGGTTCAGTTAAGGACATTAAATTCTAGACAGATGCTTGGGCAGTGATCCTCTTATTCAGCTCACTTCTTTGGACTTCCTTCATTCTAAGGGTCTGAATGTCAATCGTAATATTTCAGATTTCTTTTTAGAAGGTCAATGGCATTTCCCTCCTTGCTGGTCTCTATGGTTTCCTTTTTTTCCTAACAAGATTCCTATAGATATCCTTCTGTAGAATAATCTTCAGGACACTCTTGTTTGGAAGCATAGTATCTCTGGAGACCTTTCAACCAAAGATTCTTATGCCTTCAAGGATGGAATTTGTCATAAACCTCCTTGGGAGAACCTCATTTGGTGTGGTGACATTCCACCTAGAAAATAAATGATGGCTTGGAGATTATTACATGATAAGATTCTTACAGATCACCTAATCATGTCTATAGGCATTTCTTTGGCCTCGATATGTGGCCTCTGTAATTCTGATATTAAGACAGCTTCACATATGTCCTTTCATTGCAGATTTACTACTTCTCTTTAGTAGTGGATCAAAAGGAAGCTCGGTCTTCTGCCCATCCCTTAACTTTACCTGATTATATTTGTTTATGCAGCACAAGCAGTTCATCACAAGTTGATGTGATTATGAAAGCCTATCTTATTTTCATCCTGAACCAATATCTAGGCTGCTAGGAATAAACTGAAGCATAAAAACCTCAAACCAAATTTAAAAAATGCTATCAATTGTATATCTACTCAAACTCAGTTGGTTGGAAACAACACTACTAATTTCTCTGCGATCTCTATTTCTGACTTTGTGCTTATAAAGGATTTTGGCGTGACAGATCGCCCTCCAAGGGATCCCAACATCAAAGTTCTCTGGCTCCATCCATCCCTGAGTTGGTTATGGTGAAACTGTGACAGAGCATACAATCCAGACCTCAATGCGAGTGGTTGTGGCGGTACCTTTAGAAATGGGCATGGAGACTTTCTTTTAGTTTTTGAAGAAAAGGTTTCTTCTGCCTCTACTTTAGTTGTTGAATTTTCTGTGGTGATTGATGTTATAGGTTTAGCGCTTGAGTGTGGATGGAGTAAGCTTTGGATTGAAACATATAACACTCTGGTTGCCAAAGCCTTCTCCAACTGCAATTTAGTCCCAAGGGAGCCTAGAAACAAGTGGCTCTTCAACACACATCTATCTAATATATCTAACTTATTCATTACGCTTATTTATAGGGAAGAAAACTTGTGCGCAAACTTTTTTTGCAAATATAGGTCACAACGCCAATTCTAAAATAGTTTTTGACTCAATCCCTATTGGGATTCAAGATGATTTTGTAAAGAATAGGTTAGGTATACCTTTCTTTAGGTTCTCTTATTTTTTATGGGCCGATTTGAGTCCCCTTTTTGATGTATAATTTTTTTTAATGAAAGCCTTATTAAAAAAATAGCTTATTTCATTATTGTCCAACTTTAGAGTTGAGTTTATTTGAAAAACGCAAGTGTGTTTGCTTACCCTTGCGTACACTTTTAAGTGACCACTTTCTTAACTAGACTCCATTTACTACTCTAAATTTAATATAATTTGATTGTACCAATGTATTAAATTATAGGTTATTACCATTTTACCCATGCCATATAGGCCATTTCTGGTTTACCCCTTGTAAATTATTTTTTTCAAAACCAACATTTCCATTTCAAAATACTAATAATTTAGTCCATAAAGTCAAAATTCGCAGGTAAATCCGAAAGAAAATCCATAGGAAACCTACGAATTTACCTGCGAATTTTGACTTTATGGACTAAATTGTTAGGTTTTTGAAACTGCAAGATTACTTTTACAACAAAAAAAAAATTATAGGAGTAAACCAAAAATGATCTATTTAGAAGGAGGTGAAAGTTGTAATAACCCTTAAATTATTTATCTAAGGTTTAATCTCAAATACCTTAATTGCGAAGTAGAGAATCATACATTTAACTTTTTTTAGCTATTACAAAACTTCATAAGACAATAATAATAAAAATCACGGAGCCATGAAATTTTATATTCAAAATTCAGTTGTTAATTCATTTATCTAATGATTACTACGTTGACGCACTCGAGCAGCCCAAGCCATATTTCCTTTATCCTTCTTGCCATCACTCTTTTTTTCCAGCTCCGCCAGTTGAGATTCCCACTGACGTTTCCATTTTTTCTTTTCTTCACTCACCTGATAATGAAAATCATATACTTAATGTTAATTAAAATGTATTAATTATGAATATAATTTAAAATTTGATTACATAATTATATACCTGGTCATAATGAGAGCGATGACAGTAGCGTCTGCTAGTAGAAAATGCAAATGAAATCCCTTTAGCCAAATCTCTATCATAAATAGCTCTCGTTACTGGATCAGACAACATCTCATAAGCCTCTCGCACCATAATGAACCTCTTTGTGTACTCTTTGACCTGATCCGGTGGAGACAAATCTGGGTGACACTTTCGGGCCTTCTGCTTATAAGCGCGCTTCAATTCCACTATGGATACAGATTCAGATATACCCAAAACTTCATACAAGGTTAATTCTGATTTGGATGAAACAAAGTTATTGTTGTCGTTGTTGATTGAAGCTTTTATTTTGAGCAAAGAACTAGAACCATAGTTTTGAATCTGGAGTTTTACAAAGTTGGGTCTAATTCTGGGATATGTAAGGGAATTTGGTGCTACAGTTGGTTGGATCGTTATTCTATTACAGTAATTCATGTTTTTTTTCTTTGTGAGTTCGTTTGGAAATGTGGAATTTGATTGAATTTGTAGGTCTTACTTTTATATAGAATGTTAAAGCTTCTACAAAATAAGAAATTTGAAAAACTACGAAACCACCTATGAATTACCTTTTGAAACTGCCAGTTGTATGTTGCAAATGGTTTTGACACGTATACTAACTATCTTTATCTTTTAGTCTCTTTCACCAAATTTATCATTGTATTAATTATATAATATTTATTAATATTTAAACTAATTTTAAACTTTCATCTTTATCTTCTATTTATTTAGAATAAACATATTTTGAGTAAAATTTATTTATTTAATTAGTTACTTATCGTGTTGGGTTTCCTCCTCCTTCTTCATTGTTATTCATTTTTTAAATTATTTTTTATTAAAATTAACTCTAAATTCTTTTTTTTTATCTTTAACTCTTCTAGAATAAAAAAACCACGTCATAGCAAAATCATTTTCCTAACTAATTTGCGACTTCCTTCTTTTAATATTATCCATTATTTTAATTATTATGTTATATTATTAATAATATACTTTCATTTTCTTTAATTTTTCTAATTTTTATGTTGCTTTATATGTGTGTTTCAGTTAGTATGGTATTCATGAAAAAATCTGCGCCGAAATCAGAAAAGAACAAGAAAGAGTAGGAAAGAAACGTAGAAATATTGTTTTCTGGTGTGTGGCGGATGCCACCAGCAGAATGACACTTGCCATGACTGCCTGCCACTTCAATTAATAAATAGAGCTCATGGCGGTTGCCATGTACCAGACATGCATAAAAACGTGGAAACACAACAAGACTTATTTTGCACCACTTCCCTACATTTTCTCACCTATTTTGTGCATGTTCAGAACCCTTTCTCTACGCTGTAACACTATATATAGGGCCAGTTTATTTGTTTTTAGTTATCAAGGATTGTATGTGAAGCTCTGCCGGATTGAAAATCTAGTCTTTGATCATTTGTAAGAATTGAATCGTAATCTTGTCGTCATTAGTGAAAGTATTCCAGTTTCTTTATTCCCATCTTTGCAGGTTCATATTTAATGTGTCTTTAACTAGTAGTATGTTCAGCTAAATAGTTTTGAGTCTGGTATGTGAGGATCATCGTTTCTAAATGGACTCAGTAACGAAGTTGGCTTAAACATTATTTAAATTCAGTTTTGGTCTTTTTTTCGTAAAATTAATTCAAATGGTTTGTCACGAGATTGAAAATTAATTAAGGTTTGAGTTGTCACTATGAAAGCGTGGAGATCGAACCAGATAGTAAGAATAGGGCATCAATCCTAAAGAGGTCGAGAGTGCTTTAGGTGTTGATTAGGACTTGTTCAATGTTCAAAACACGTTCCTTAATTTAAATGGGCGAGCGACAGTAAAATCCCATGGTTAAGGAACATGGCTTTATTCAATAGCACGAGAGTGTGAGGGTTAGTCTTTAAACTAACGTTTTCTAATAAATATGTTTTTAACATCAGTATAAGCTAACAAGTTACAGGGTCCCTGAGGTACGCGAAATACACATTCCGGTTTCTCTCTTCATCATCATAATTTCTAAATTTGTTTATTTCTAGTTTTAATTCTGTTTAACCATAGGAATCATTCGCTTTAGCTTTACATAGTAACAATTGATAATATTAGTTTGATTATTAGTCCCTATGGGTTCGATATATTTTAAAACTACGCGGTAGATTGTGCACTTGGAATTAGTTAATTTGATAGACTTTTAAAGTCGTGATCAAGTTATTGGCACCGTTGACATGGACTTATTTAGTCAATATTGTGATTCTAATATTGTGCAGTATAGACTAAGGCAACCAATTTTCCTTTTAATTTGTCGATTGCATGCCAAGCAATCGCTCTCAAGGTGAGGAATTAGAGCAACCAATTGACGAAGTCGAGCATTTTATTAACTTAAGATGTTGAATACACGAATATCATATAAAATACAATCTTCCAGATCCTAATACTCCTTTTCTCGAACCAATTCTAGAACCAGAACCACTTATGGATGAAGGACCACAAAAAAATCCTCTCAAGTATTATGTTGTTCCATCACAGAAGGAACCACACAACAACATGGTTGCCCCTAATATTGACCAAAATTATTTTAGTTAAAACCTTCGTTGTTGCAAGCCATACAACATAACCAATTTTCTGGTACTCCTACGGACGACCCAAACTTACATTTGTCAGTGTTTGTGTAGTACGCAGAAACAATAAAAGCAAATGGTGTCAGCACCGAAGCAATAAGACTACGTCTTTTCTCTTTCTCTTTAAGAGATAGAGATAGAGCTTGGTTCCAGTCTCTACAATCTAACTCTATTACTACATGGGATGAGTTGAAGAAAGTTTTCTTAGCACGATATTTCCCACCAAGCAAGAAGACTATGCTAAGAGCCCGAATCAATGAGAAAAGTCAATGAATATCTTTTCGAAGCGTGGGAGAGATACAAAGACATGATGGGACTTTGTCTGTATTACAGTCTAGAAGAATGGTTGATTATTCATACCATTTAGAATGGTCTCTTGTACAACATAAGATTGACAATAGACGTTTCTGCTAGCGACACACTAATGGATAAACCTTACCAATATGCTTATCAACTTATCGAAAGTATGGCTCAAAATTACTATCAATGGGGAAGTGAACGAACTCCTGTAGAGAAGACCCACACGAAGGGCGGTATGTACGAAACTAGTAGCCTTGACCAATTCAATGCCAAGGTATATGCTCTTACACAAAAAATAGAGAACCTGTCCATAACTCATGCAGCCACCATGGCTACAGTTACTCCAAAATGTGATTAATGCGGAGTTCTTGGGCATGCTGCCCTCGAATGTCAACTTTTGGCAGGAATTCCCACTGACCAAGTGAACTATGCTCAAGGTAACCCTTATGCCAATACCTATAACCCAGGTTGGAAAAACCATCTAAACTTTTCGTACAAGAACAACAATGCATTATATGCACCTGGCCAAACTCCTACCGAATCACTAGGGTATCAAAAAGTCGCTACAATTGCTCCTAATGCTCCTAGGAAGTCTAACCATGAAATGTTGATGGAAAACTTCATAGCTACCCAAGCCCAACAACATAAGGAGTTTTTAAATCAAAATGTGCACACTAGTGAACAACTTAAGCAATTAGAAAACAAGGTAGACACCCAAGCCACTCATAATAAAATGTTAGAAACACAAATTACTCAAGTGGCACAACAACAAGCAGCTACAGATGCTCCTGCAGGAACTTTTCCTGGACAACCATAAACAAATCCAAAAGGACATGCTAATGCTATCATATTACAAAGTGTGGCAGAATTAGACGGACCCACTGACCCAAGACTTAAAATATCTAGCCATGTACCGAAATTTCGGTGAAGAAACTGAAAAGGTGAACGAACTAACTGAAAATGGAACATAAGATAAAAGCGAATAGGTCGTAGAGAAAGAAAAACCTTAAGTTCCTCCACCACCATACAAGCCACCGATACCTTATCCTCAAATACTATCTAAGTCCAAAAATGAAGGGAAATTTAAGAAATTCGTAAGCTAAATATCACTATACCTTTCACAGAAGTCATTACACAATTGCCCTCATATGCTGAGCTCCTTAAAGAGATCCTATCAAATAAGAAAAAGTTCGAGGATAACGAAACTTTTATGCTTACTGTAGAGTGTAACACTATAATCCAAAATAACATGCTTCCTAAGCTAAAAGATCCAAGTAGTTTTTCCATACCATGTGTAATCAGAAAGTTTGTCATAGACAAAGCTCTATGCAACTTCAGAGCCAGTGTTAGTTTAATGCCTTTATCCATATGCGAAAAACTCAAATTAGGAGAAATAAAATCAACAAGAATGTCTCTTCAACTGGCTGACTGTTCAGTAAAATTTCTCGTAGGTATGCTGGAGAACGTTCATGTTCATATATGATAATTATATATTCTTATTGAATTTATAATTGTGGACATTAAGGAGGATTCAAACATCCCTATCATTCTAGGAAAATCCTTTTTGGACACTGTTGGAGCCATAATAGATGTGAAGAGAGGAAAACTAACCTTTGAAGTTGGTGAAAAAAATGTTGAATTTATTCTCTCACAATTCTTAAAGGCACTAGTTATAGAAGACTTATGTTGTTTCCTAGATGTCATCGACGAATGCGTAAGAGAAATGGAGATGGATCAAACTAAGTATATCAAAGTACTAAAGAAACCATACGTATATGATACTCTGAGGGAATGTCTCACACTAACACCTGGTCATATGCCTTGCCTAAAGAAACCTGTTGTAAAACTTAAAACACTACCTAAAAATATATGGCATGAATTCCTAGACACAGAGCTCGAACGACCAGTTATAGTCAATGCATATTTAGAACAGATAGAAACTGAAAAATTAATACTTGTTCTAAGAAAGTATCCAACTGCTTTAGGATATAACATCTCATATCTAAAAGGAATAAGTCCCTCTATTTGTATGCATCGCAAGCTTGAGGAAGATTGTAAAACCTCTAGAGAACATCAGAGAAGAATCAATCCCGTTCAGAGTGATGTAGTCAAGAGAGAAGTAAAAAGTTATTAGAAGTAGGAATTATATACCTGATATCCGATAGTAAATGGGTCAGCCCAGTACATGTCGTACCAAAGAAGGGAGGTGTTATGGTTGTCGATAATGGAAAAGGTGAATCAATAGCACAACAAGTTGTAACTGGATAGAGAATGTGCATTGACTATAGGAAATTGAATAAAGCCACCCGTAAGGATTATTTTCCTTTACCTTTTATTGATCAAATGCTTGAACGTCTGGCTAAACATTCTCATTTCTTCTATTTAGATGGTTATTCAGGATTATTCCAAATTCCTATTCATCCCGATGACCAAGAAATAACCATATTCACCTGTCCTTATGGTACATTTGCTTACCAATGAATGTCACTCGGACTGTGTAACACTCCCACAACATTCCAGAGATGCATGATATC